TTAGGTTGTTTTCATACTTACAATGATGGCAGTGGATATATCACCCAAGATGGCTCCAAAATGCTTGTCAAGAGTTTGGCACCGAGCATTCTCACGTGGAAGAAGTGATTTGCGATGCAAATTGAGTACAAAATTAATGTTTTTTGTTCAAAATTACAATCTTTTGTGTTAGAACATTGTAGATATTTTTATCTTTTTAATTAAGGCATTTTGCTTGCAATTATGTACTATTTTTCAAATTAACACAAGAAGCCTGGATATAGACTATAATGAGTTTGTGGCCATGATGCAGAAATGTAATGGTGATTTTGGTAATATAGGATACTTAAAGAGTAAGTTTGATGTTGTATTTAGAGAGGCAATGTCAGTTTGTTAACAAACTCATTTTTCTTAGTTATGGTTAAGAGTTTCACAAGTTTGATTATATTCTCAAATTTTTCAACTTGTCCTCAAAAGTTAGGAGATTCTTTTTTTTATCTATGGTTAAGAGGTTCACAAGTTTGATTGTATTATCAAATTTTCAATTTTTCCTCAAAAGTTAGGAGATCTGGTAAATGTTGTGCTTCTGATTTTTGCTATGCTGTTGTGGTAATTGTGAAAGCTTTGTTATGTTGTTGTGGTAATTGTGAAACTGCTTTACAATACATGCATATTCATTGGAAAAATAACTATGTTGGTTACATGTTTTATGGGTTTATTATCTAATGCCTTCTGTAGTTTAGGTATATTTCAATCTTATTACCTTATTTTAATCTTCAATTAGTTTCTATATCCTTTAGCTTACAAATTCGTCAATTAATTATCTATTAAATAAATTGGATCCCCGTGTTCCTTTTTGTAGGTGTTGCAATGGCCTTTTGCATTGGCTATATTATGTATACTGCATGAGTAAAAAGTTAATAAGAAATTGGAATCACCCTCAATCAGTCTAAATGTCTGTTAATGAAAGAATTATGGTATTTATTTATTATTATTTTTTTAACTTAATCCTTTAGCACTCACACATAATTTGCATATCTTTATGATTTATATTTATAAACATATGACAAAATTATAAATTTAACTGATGCTAAATTTTCACTTGACATTTATTCCAAATTGCTCCATAAATTATGGGGTATGTTTCTATAGTTTAATATTTTTTACTGATTAAAAAATGATTTTTTTCTAAAAACCCGGATGGACCATACCTGACCCATGCTTCCGTACTATGTAAACAGTTTCCAACATGTACAATTAGTTGCAATCTGTTTTTGTGTATGGTATTATATATACTTTTTTTTTCCCATTCATGAACCTTATATACTTAGGTTCCCATGCTCCGTTAATTTAAGAATCGACTAAATATGACATCTCTGTCCATTCATTTCCAATTCTAAAATTCAATTTCCAGCATAAAAGCGTCATTAGACAACACACGCAACACATAGAATGTTTATGAATCAATAGAGAAAATCGTAAGCAGATAACTTTGACCACGATTTTAGTTTCGGGATCCATGCGCACGTATACGGATTTAAACGACCACACAACTCATAAACCACTAGCAAAATTTAAAAGACAAAAATTTTAAAATATTTCCCTAAGAACAAAAAAAAAAGCACAACTTATGACAAAATTTCAGTGTATTTTTAGACCGGATTTGAGACCGCCGTGCGTGCACGGCGAAACCCGCACGGGCGAAAATCTTAATTGATAGATGGTTAAGTCAGTGGTACATTATGGGGTTGTTTCAATCGACAATTTCTTTTTACTATTTTAATATGCATTATGTGTGATGCTCAATTTGTTTCTGGGTTAATTTTGAAATATATTCACTCATTTCAGGTTCTCAATGAGCACGATTTCGTATGCAAGGGCGTGTAGCTTGTGGTGTTCAATGGTTTGATATTGAATATTGAAGGTGCACACACTTAACATCATCTAATGAAACTTCATGCATGTTCTCACATGATCGAATGCACAACATTAATAAATTTGTAGTCTTTGTTGTTTTTATAGTTATCACCTGGTAGGAAATTGGTTATATATATTTCTAAATGTTGCTTCTGTAATTTGTATCGCTTGGTTTGGGGCTGTGTAGTTTTTATGCTTATGTAATGTTTGTACCTACTCACAAAAGCACGTCCCCAGACTCGTGGAGAAGGCTGCCGGAGTTCAAAGCCAAATGGATTGGCACCATGTGCCTCTATTAAAAAATTCACATAAAATTTTTGAGTGAGTAGCATATACCATTTGAGTTTTTTGTCACCTTCTTGAGTGACTAGCATATACATTCATGGATTTTGTATGGGTTTGATTTGCTTCTCTGTTTCACATGTTCCATTCATGCTTACGTGTTTAGATATTGACAACAACTTTGGGAGATTATTAAACTCTATGTTTCAAAAGCTTCGTATAATTTGTAGTTTATTAATTACAATATAAATCTTCCATATATCATTGATCGTTTTTAATCATTTTATATTTAATTATTTTATTATAATCCAGCTTTTTCTGTGGAAAAAGAAAGTCAAGTGATGAGAGTGGTTTTACACGGGGTGTTAGGCCGCCGTGTGTGCACGGCGTGAGCAAATCTAGTCTTATATATATACAAATGAGTTATGACGATTGTGGTGACGACACGTGTCCATTTTCGACCCTTCCGGTGGTCGACACGTGGCAGTGGCTATTTTTTTTTTCCTTCGTTGAGCGAAAACGGCACCGTTTTGGTGCCTTGAGATGCATTTTAATTCACAGTGCCTTCTACTATGTACCGTTTGGATTAACAATTTTTTTGACTCTTATTGAATTCCCGCACACGCGAGGTTTGGGAGCACCGGAAAACCTGTTGAGGCAAAAAGTGTGCGGCGTTTCTAGGTGGGCCTTACCACCACTGTTCGCTAGATTTTCTTGCCGTAAAATCTGGGTACGGTGTATTTGAATCCACTTTTTGCACGATATAAACAAACTGTAGAATTTGGGGTCTGCTATTTTTTCGCTCGTTTCGCTTCAAAACCCTAGGCAAATTGATTATTCCTCTCTCTATCCTTCGTCGTCTTCTGCAGAAAAAATCAATGGAATCATAGATCCTCAACTTGATTCAACATAACGCTCCTCTATAATGTCTTCAAAATCTAGGTGAGTCATAAACGGCTCGAAACTTGCTCTCTGTGGAGGGGACATGGCCGATGGAGAAGGAGGAGGTGGCACAGTCGGCACAGTAGGGGCGCTTGCTGTGGGAGCCCGTCGCACGTCCTTGTGGAGAAATTGGAGCAGTCTAGGACATGGCAAAGGGATTCCAGTTGAAGAGCTTGAAGGCGCACGATTGTATGGCATGAAGGGAATCCACTGTGCCACGCCGTGGGTAAAGAGCTTCGCCGTCAACCGCCGCAATTTAGTTGGTTCAGGGTCGCCGCCATCTTAAAGGGGTACTTGTTGCGTTAATATGTTATTTTTTTTCTATGTATCACTTTTTTATTCATATTTTTCAATTGATTTTTAAATCCGGCCCTATGCCTACATTCTCTTGTTCTTGACCGCGGTGCCGCTAAGCTCGATGAGTTCTTCGCCTTCACCGTCGTCACGTACCCGACGCTGGTTGTTTTGACAATGTGTAGCTGATAGACTCGATTTTAACTATTTTTCTTTTTTAGTTGTTGTTGGATGATTTGTAGGGTATGTACCCCAGGGCATCAAATTCAAGAGGCTTGATAAAACAACAAGGCATATCGTGCAGGCACATTTTTTTTTTCACAGAACATAAAGGTTAGGTTAGTTTATTCTCTCAATCATTTCTTATTTTATATTCTTATCAATATTTAATTATATCCTCAACATGTACTTTATTTTTTGTGTCCAGGACGTTTTGAAATAAGGTAATTTAATGTGTCCCCGTATATAGGTCCTTTTCGACAGAGGATGTGATGGTGGTGCAAGACGAAATATCCAATGATGGGGCAGGTTTATGGTTTTTTATTTGCTGCTGTTGAGTTTTTCATTCATTTGTGTAGTAGAGCAATATCGAAGGAGTTGTAGAATCATGATGGTATTTTTGGTGTATTTTGGTTTGTTGCAGTTGAAAAGGAAGCACTTGAAGCTAGCTTTTGGAGAAGTCTTAGAAGTTATTGGAAAGGATTAGAAGCCTGAAGTGATTAAGAACAAGTTTCGCAGCTGCACCACATTGGTATTAAGAACAAGTTTCGCAGCTGCACCACGTTGGTACAGAAAAATGCGATGTGATTGAGAAAGAAAATGGAGTTCCCAGAAAAGGTTAATGTTGCATTATTCATAATTTTTTTCCAAATTTCTTCATGTTATTACTCATTCTTATTATTGCCTGGTTAGTAAGGAAGAATAGTTAGACTCCATCGTTAAAAGTTCGTGTTGTTTTGGTTTTTTTTTTTTTGTGTGTGTTTTCGTGTGGATAGGCATTTTCTAAATGGTCGTTGGAGGATGAACCTAAATTTATTCTTTAATGTATTTTCCTTAGACAACATTGAAGGAACTCAAATTGCAAGTTAATATATGGAAAGATACAAAAGAAATATAGTCTGTTCGTCGTGTTGATCTTGAGGATGAAATGTGTGCTCTAAAGGAAGAGAAACAATCACTGAAGAAGAGTCATAATTATGCTTCTCCACATGCAGCTAAGAAGAGTCAAAAACATTTTAATTCAGCTGAC